AATCATTAGTGCTCCTTGAAAAGCTGCTGTATGTTCTTGGAACTAGTGATTTGAAAGCACTCAGATATTATGGAAGGGGAGAAAACATGTAATTTCCTTCCACTTTCCTCCTCTTACACCAATCTATGAATGTTACTGTTATTACACACAAACCTATTCTGTGCTGGGGAGAGAAAGGGGGCTGGGGAGGTTCAGGAAAAAAAGAAACCCACAACCAACCGTGGGGAAAAAAAACAGGCAGTCTGTAATTTGCTGGAAAATGGAGCATTTTGTGGATGCAACAGACGTGTGGAGCTGGGAGAGCGTGCTACGGAGATGGAGCCAAGTGTTGGGGTGGAGGGACCACCCTGTCTGTCCTGCTCCCCAGGAAACTTGTGGGGCTGGGGGGGACCCCACAGTCCTGCCCTCGGCTCAGGATATCCATCCTTTCCTTCCAGAGTTTCTTTGAAGGCTGGGATGCTTCGAAGAAGAAAGACAAGACCAAAGGGAGACAGGATCATGTGTCGACATGTGAGTGCCTTTAGACACCCCAAACAGCTTCAGAAACCTTCTAAAGGGCTTTGGGGGCTTTTTTGGAGGAAAGCTGGACTCGAGTCCATGGCAAGGAATAAACTGGTGGGGTTTGGTTGGTCAAGGGCAGCAGGAAGGTCCTTGCTCAGTGCAGGGTCCCAGCCTGAGAGCTCCTGTTGGGCATCAGGCTGGAGCAGAGGAGGGCCTGGCTGGGGCTGGATAACTCCTGAAGATGGGATATCTTGGGGTGATGACACCACCACCAGGATATGCTGGGTGGTGCTGGCAGGCCCCACATAGCCTGAAGAATGTTTCCCTGTAAGGACTTATGAGAAGCTGCAGCCCTGCCCTGGGGAGCTTCTGGTGCGGATGTGCAGGATGCTGTGGACACAAAGGGGTTAACTGATGGGTTTTTAGGACAGAAGATTAGGGAAGGGCTTGACCCCACCTGAGAGAGGATGCTCTTCACCACCTCCCTCCAGTCCTTGTGGCACAGCCACCTTGCTCCCTGCCACATCTCTAGAGACATTCCTGCAGGGATGGAGACACCAAGCCTGGTGCTCCAGGAGCTCTGGTGCTCTCCACCTGCTTTGTCCTCAGCTTCCTCCCTTCCACTCCAGCACTGTTCAGGACCCCAGAGGACACCAGAGGTTGGGCAGAGCTTTCTGGGCTCTGGCCATCCTGGTGCCTGGCTGGGCTGGAGGATGAGTGCCCTCTTTTTGGCAGGACTGGGCAGAGTTCAGGGAGATATGACGCTGGTCTAAATCACCATCTTGTGTTTATTGCTCCTGAATATGCACCACCCGCCTGAGTTTTGCAGGTTCCTGGTGCAGAATGGTTGCACAGGGTGCCTGGGGGGCCCTGGGACCCGGTGGGTGACCATCCCCAGGCACTGATGGTCCCTTCTCCCCTTGTCCCCAGACGACCGTCACCGTGTGAAGCTGCACCCGCTGCTGGGCGACCCCAACTCCGACTACATCAACGCCAACTACATCGATGTGAGTGGGGACAGGGCCTGTCTCTGGGGGTCTGGGCCTCAACAGGAGCTTCCTGGGGGCTGTCAGGGTCTGTCCAGCAGCATTTCGAGGAGTTTGGACAGCCCAGGGTGGGCTGGTCTGTGCATCCCTGAGACACACCATGAAGGACCTGCCTGATTTGTTTCTGTTCATCACCAGTTTCTGCTTGTTGCTCTGTCCCTCCTTTCTCATTTCCTCTCTCCTCCCTTTCTCCATCCTTTCTTTCCCTCCTTTCATGGCTGTGGATCTCTGTCCTCCCTGGGTGAGGGATGAAGAGGTTGAGGGGGCCAAGAGACCACCTGAGGCTCACACTGGGGTGCCCCTGATCCTGCTGGTACCTGTGAGTCTGGGCAGAGCTCAGCCCCAGTGTCCTCTGAGAGTGATGTTCTTACAATGTCCCCTGTCACCTCCATGCTGAGACCGGGGGAGGTGCAGGAAAGCTCCATCAGGCTCCAGCATCTCCTGGAAGCAGCAGCAAATCCAACTCTTCCCTCCTGTCCAGAGGATGTTGTCCATCAGTGGTGGCCTGGTGCTGAGATCCCAGTGCCCGAGCAGCATCCCTCTGCCTGTCCCCTGTGTCCCTTCTTCCCTGTGTCTCTCTGTGACCTGCTCTGGGTCGTGTGCTCTAACCTCTCTCTCTGATCTGGGC